GGGAATTCTGGGAGTTGAAGTCCACACAGCTTAAAGTTGCCAAGGTTGAGAAACACTGCCCCAGCTGTTTGCATTGTGCAAATTGGGCCATTATCTCCTTTGAATCAAATAATTGGTCTTGTTTCCTGGGTTTTTCTTCATGTGCTATTCCGGTGGTCCAGGTTATTACAGTCAGCAGAATCTCCTGGTTTAATATTTCTGGATGCCATTGGGGAGGTGCAGGGGTTAATTCTCTTTTCCTTAGGTAGCCCTCCGCTGTCTTGATATAAATTGCCTGTGGTAGGAAAACAGGGTTCCCTTGTTCCTTCGAGGGAGGCTCGTAGAGGGTTTAAGCCTGTATGATGAGCTTTTCACCTTGTGGGATGATTCCGAGAAGGGCAACAGTACAAATCAGGGGTTTTTTTGCTTTTCAGAGAGGTGATGGAGACAGAGGAGAAGACAGGTAGCCCCGTTGCTACAGTGAAGTCAGCTCAAACAGTAAGTGTTGCTATGCAAAACCTACTCGCTGCATTGATGGCTATCTCTGTGTGTTGCCACACAGTCCATGTTCAACACATGTTAAACTATTAGGATCTGTTGAATAAACCACAATAGGCTGGGTACAGACAACACGCTAAAGCTGTAAACTGTAGTTTGTAAACTTAGTTCTCTGGGTTTCTTTGATGCCAAGTTCTTCCAACTGCCTTTGCTCGTTCAGTAAGATCAGGCCTCTTCAGGTTCCTTCCCTTGGAATATCACCGTCAGTCCCAGACTCCCCCCCCCCCCAAATATGGGCTTCAGAAAGACAATCAAAACGTGCTCTTCTGAGCAAGTCTTGAGGATGGAGGTGTCATGAAGTGTTCCATCTTGAAGTGTGGTGGTCTGTTTTTCATCTGAGTTTTTTTTTATTGTTCCTGGCACAGATTTGTGAGATAGTTGTTACTCATTTGATCTAACCTTAGGATGCAGGATATGAAAGCCAGTCTGAGCCAGTGATGCCTGGAGGAACATTTAAGCCCAATAAATAACAGTACTTTTGTGTATTCCTTTCTACATGTGCATATGAAGAATCCAGGAACAAAAGACCAGATTCCCAAAATGATAAAGATTTTAAGTGGGGAAATGGCCATTGAATTACACCTGCAGTTCTTAATACGAAACAACAATACAGACCTCATGATTCTAAAAAACACAAAGGTAAGACCTGTGTGTGTGTGGCCTCCTTGTTTTGTGGCTTGCCCAAAGCCCAAAGAACACACCTTGAAAGGCTTGCAAGAGGTTGAGGATTCTCTTCTGTCATACCTTTCTTCTTCCCAATGGTATATTTCAAATATAGATAACAATAGCTTCTTTTTAAATAACACAAATTCGAAGAAGTCCGACAGGCAGTGCTGGGGCTGGTCCCCAGGCACCTTGGTAGTCGATCCCTCTTGCTTGATGTTGTCTACAGCCACATCATCCTGCATGAACAGAACAAGTTGAGGGATGGCAAAACTCTGCTCTGGAGAAGGTTTTAAGATGGTTTGGGAAAAGTCAGAAGAGATCCGAGTGAGTTAGGTGGTCCAAAGTCATTTTTTGGCCCCCAGGGCTACATTACCCCAGGAAATTCTGGGAATGTTTAGGGCTGGTGCTCTTCACCCCTCCCCACCCCCCACCCCCCCATTGAGCCCAGGCATTTCCATAGCTTAGCTTAACATGAGAATCTGAGGCACTCAGAGGAAGCAAAGATGCGAACCCCACATATGCCTGAAATAGTTATTTGGATCTTGGTCTTTGCAATGAGGATACCCTCCTCTGAAATCAATCTGGCTTAAAATCTTCCAGGGTTGCCCATAGAAATAGCAGCTGTTCCCCTTTTTAACTGTTTAGTCCATTTGCAAGTGGCTGAGATTATGGCTTAATTCCTCAACGTGGAATCTCTAAGGATGATGGAAATCATCC